ACGCAGGTGCAGCCCAGCGTTCCCGCCGCTCTCGAGGTTTCCGCTGTTTGCACACGTACAAACCCATTTTAGTCCTTGCTTATTGTCAAATTTTGTTTCTCGTTGTGTTTTTTCGCTAGTAATCCAACTATGCGTTTTTACGTATATGAAAAATAAACCCATAAATCGGCGTGTTCAATAAAAGCGCGTCTTTTTTCGTAGCTTGAGCTCCAATTACCAGAATTATGTTGTATAACATATCCCCAACATAATCACACTTCGGGTGGTTCACTCCTTTGAAACCGGATGCCTTCGCACTAACCGGATTGCATAGCAGTGTTTAATTCCATCTGGGCCAAAGGGACACTACGAGCGATCCGAGTTAATGAAGCGAGTACCACGTGACATTCGGATACGTCTTAACGATATACGTTGCAGCCAAGGACACGTGACTGGATCCTGGCTATTCATTGGTTCGAATGGCTCGCAGCGTTAACAGCGATCAACTTCGCCAAGAAACATAGTATAGTTCTTCCGCGATGCTAGGCGCTTTAATCGAGCCCGGGTCGCCATCCTCGATTGGCTTTCAAAGGGCAGGCTCGGACCTCGAGTATTCCCCAGCGGAAGGTTCGATTACCACCGCTCTGTCGGACGATTTCTCTCTTGTCCAATGCTCACACCCTAAGCTCTCTCTCTCTCTCTCTCACTCTGCCTACTCTATTCCTTTCTTATCTACAGCTCAAACGGAGATGGAGTTGTCGCCAGCCTAGATAGAAATTCCAACATGGTTCGGTGGACGAGTGGGTTGTGGTAACGTACACAGTGCGACACTATTCGTGTGAACAAGCGGTGAATGCTGTCTTCAGTTCTTTCTGTAAGAACGGAAAGGTTGTCATCAAAACTATACTGCGGTGCTAAAAGGTGTTTCCTTTTTTCTAAGGCGCTAATTTAAACCTTAAAATTTGAAGTTTTTCTTTTTTCTAGCCTTTTCCGCAACTCAACGTGATGAAAACTAGCGGCGATCCAATTTATTGCTGTGGACTTCCAACAGACCGCTGGTGAGAATAAATAACTTGTTTTGGAAGGATTTTTTTTTCTATTCTTTTAGCGCGATGTGGAACAACGAGCGCCTCCACGAATTTTCGCCACCCAATGGCTGCCCCCGTTCTGGAGTTTTGAAAGCAAGCAGCGATGCCTGCTCAATTAGCGTGTTCTGTGGAGCATTGGCTGACTCCAACCCTGATTTGGCGGCGCGAAACGGGACACTTGAGCAGCCTCTCGAAACCGGACTCTTGGGCGATGAACTGCGCCTGGCTTCGTCATCCACGCCATTCACTGTCAGGCACCCGACCGTGCCAACGTTAAAATACAAGCAGTTCTATATTTTTTTTCTTATTTTTTTTACGTTGGCGGCATTGTATCCTGAGGTACGGCGAGCCGGTGGGCTACTTATTGCAAACAAGTTTTGAAGCTTCCTTACAAAACAATCAATCTTTTTTTTTTTCTTTTTTTTTTCCCCTAATGCCAAGTTTTCACAGTATTAAGCGTCTAGCCAGGTTGGGGCAGAGCATCGGATCATCAAACAAGAGTTCGCCAGGTACACGAGAAAAGTAGACTGCACGAACCCTTAAAGCCTGCGTGAAACATGGTGCTCGCGGTGTTTTCTAACAATAAATGCTCCTGAGAATATTTAGATTATTAGAATTCTTTAACGGGCGTCAACGTTCAAAGATTGAGTGAGCCCAATGCGTGTAGGGCATAGAAGCTGCCGAGCCGACACACTTGAAATGCGAAGGGGCGAAAAATACGGTTTTGGCTCCCGTCTGATAAAGAATACAAAGGCACGAGTCTGCACGTTCGAAAAATATTTTGAAAAGTGTTTTGGCAGCACGCAAAGTTACGGTGGAGGAAGGGGTCGGCCCGCGCCCTCCAACCGTCCTCTACTGCAATCACTCGACCGCGTTGTCCCTGTGGGTTGATCGTCGTGGATTTATTCGACAAATTATGAAAATAGCGATGCAGCAAATGGCTCTCTCAGGCGCTTCGCAGAAAAGTAGACCCACTATTTTTCTTTTATGATGTTTTTGGATTTTGTCGACAGTGATAATCGCCGATATAGCTAATTAATAGCTTAATAAACGCAGCACGTACCGATTAGCTTGTTGATGCTCCTTGCTACGTCATTCGTCCTTCAGCCTTCTTGGTGACTAATGCCGAAGCATGATTGGCTGTAGACCGATTAGGATATGCCAGGGACAAACGAAAAAACGAAAAAGAAAACGATTTAAGCACAAACTTATAAAGCCAGGGTCACACTGCTCATTCATTATACAGAAGACTGTCTGCCAACCGTAAATAAAAGAAAAAGTCACCGCAATATCTGTGGTTCGAATGCCGCGAGCCAAGTTTTCTCCTCGAAGTCATTGCCATGTGGCATTCGAAGTACGAATCTCCCGGTGGCTCGCGTTCGAATCTGTATGCAGACTGTCTTTTGTATGATGTACAAGCAGTGTGACCCCGGCTTTAGGGTATCTGACTTACACTGACATTTTACTTAAAATTAAACCTAACGCGGTACCACGTCGAAGCACTCAATATTCTAAAGCCCGATTCACAAGGTACAATTTTACTTGCGATTGCTCATATGCGACGTCGCTCGTGCGGAAAAAAAAAAAATTAGGGTAAGCTGTGGTACCCGACGTTGTAGCTGCGAATACGCAAGACAAATCGTACCATGTGAAACAGGCTTACGAGAGGTCTGGATAGAAGCGGTGAAGCAGCACGCGATACCGCTAGCAACTGTCCGCACGTTATGACGTCAGTGTCACGTGAAGTCAGGACGTCTCAACTTTCCAGCTAAATTTAGCAGGAACGTTTCCCCACTCAATAGCGTAAACATTTCTTCGTTAAATTTGGCAGGAATTCATGACCTAGTGGTGCCAACTGACATCACTGCGTCACGTGATGTCATGGCGTTATGTGACGTCAGTGTCGCGCATGAACGCCGTCCGCTAAGTGGGACGCAAGTCCACTAAATTTAAACATGGCAGTGCAACTGCTCAGCCAAAGGCGCAGCCTCTCGGCGATCGCCGCAGCTCACTTGCAAAACGCTAAAAAAAAAAAAACTAGTTTTTACAGTTTGCAGTGCACACGCCTGATCCTAAAACGGAGTTCGCTAACTCGCGGGCTTTCGACCGGCGCTCCTCGAGAGAGACAGTCCAGGGTTGAAGCGACGACGTGCGCGCGCGGTCTGTCTCGTCGAAGTCGCTAAAAGAGGTCCTTGTTCGCCGTCGGGAAGGACGCTTTTGGCGGCGCTCTGGTTTGCGCTAATGATGGCTCCGAAAGAAGAGACAGAGGCGCCTTTGCGGCCCTCCAGCGCCCCGGGCGTGCTGCGATGGAACTGAACGAAGAACCGCCGTTGTTTGTTGTTGTTGCTTTTTCTTCCTTCCGCGGCGAATGTGTCGTGCGAGGATCTTGTTGAACTTGTCTTCCGCGTCTGTCGGTGGGCCCGGAGGAAGACGCACTCCAGACAAGAGAAAGCCTCTCGTGCTTTTCCGCCATCGAGAACTTGCAAGTTCATCCGATGTCTCTTTTGCTTAGTTTCTCGTGTTCTCCTTTCTTCCGACTTGATTTTGTAGTTCCTTTTCTTATGTTTAAAAGTTCGTAGTCTTCTCAGCGAGCGAAGAAACACAAAGTTGAGCATATATTACAGTGCGTGGGTTGTTTGCAAGCGTTCTCTCGTTTCGTATCTCTTCGTGAAGTTGCGTTCTGTGGTTTTCGGAGGCGAAGCACTGGTTAGCTGCATCTGCTGCGCGCAATGAGATTGCTTCGCAAGCAGTTCGCTCAGTGAATTGCGGGACTGCACGCATACTTCTTCTCGCCTTACGGCTGTTCACTCTCCAACACTGAAGGCGCAATTTCATAGCTTTCTTTTAATGGGTGCTCCCAGTGCGCAAGCTTTCGCGTTACTAGGATTTATTTGGTAGCTGCACACCAGCTTGCCGCGTCAACCTTCAGCGCAGTCAGAGTTAAATTCGGAGACGAAGGGTGTATGAGCGTACGAAGGGTCTCTGTAACCATTCCCGTTGTTTGTTAGTTTGGTTGTCTCCGGGTTTAGGCGACTCGACTAAATTACTCTACAGTGCACACAGACTAGTGAAACTGACACTCGGAATTGGTGTTTGCCTACACATTTTTCGGATAGAGATACCCTCTATCCGAAAAATGTGTACCAAACGTTGCCAGCTGCGCCGCATGCTCTCGCGTTCTTTATAGCCACCGACAGCGTAAGAAATGAGAGGCGTTGCGTGTCCCCGGCATCAATAGACCCTGCAGCCGATGGGATGGCGGCATTCGCGAGATAGGAACGCCGGAGAGCAAATGGCCAAGCAGAAAGAGTGAACATAGTAAGCGACGAGCTCAAACCTCTGGGTATGACGTCCCATTTAGCGGATGATTTTTTGGTTTCTCTCGCTTCTGTTGATACGTTCAGATCTAAAGTTTGATAATCAAATTACCCGGACAAAAATATGCTAGAATTCACCTCTGTTTTCCTTTTCTTGCTTTTTTTTTTTTTCTTCAAAAACCTGTCTTTTTTTTTTTTTTTCAGCTGGCAGCGGCTATACCCTATATTGTTTTAGCGCTAGCCTATTTGACCACTCTGAAAAATAAAAAAAAATAAACGAGCATGTTGTCCAGTTTTCGAGCCAACTGTGTACGCACTGTCTACGCAGCCAAATGTGTGGGCATGACAACTTCGAACGCCATCGCTGACTCAGTCTCGCGATTTCTGTAATGTGTGTCCGTCGCGACTGGAAGTGACAATTCCCTCAAGGTCAAAAACGTGTCTAGTCTTACCTCCATACCCGCTTGGCGCCGGCAGCCACCGTGACGCGCGAACCGATGGCATGTTTCCCCATCTTGCGCCGCCGAGTTGTTCTATTACAGCGACAACTCCCACGCCGTGACAATGTTGATGACTCCGTTGTTTTTCTTATCTTGTTTCTTTCTCTTACTTCTCCCAGGTCCCCGCGGAGCGGAATCGAGTCGAGCACGACGACAGCTCCTTCGGTGAGTGCCGCATTCGCATAGGAAAACGCCTTGACCCCGATTCCAATCGTGTCCGAAAAGTGCCGCAACGGCGAAGCGCGGCTACCGTCGCCGTACACCCTTCGGCGATTGTTCTCACCTACGCAGAACCCCGTCTTCTGTCACCTCTGCCGGTTCGCCGGCGGCCGTTGGGTGGCCCAAGGTTGTGACCGCGCCGCTCAAAAGCCCGTTTCTGGCGGTCATTAACGTCAAAAGGGTCACGCTTCGATGCGTCCGCCAAGCGAACATGCCCCGCGGTAAACTTACCGCTGGCGAAGAGGCGTTTGCAATACGCGCTGCGCTGTTCGATCGCGACTCGCTGCAGTTCTATTGTAACCCAAGTCGTCCCATCTCCAAGTTTGCCGTAACAGTCGGTCGAGCGGGTAATGGAGGTAACTCTGGTGTTCATTCCTGGCCTAACGCTACGTTTCTTTCTTGCCCACCTTTTTTCTTTCTTTTTTCTCGCTGCAGCGGCCTAATGTATGCGCCGCTCAGAGGGAGCGCACGGCGGTCGCCAAGTGTCGTGCATTCTTCTCGCGGAGGGTTTTCTCAGGGTCAGATTGGAAATTTTCCAGGCCCGTCGAGAATCTGCGTGTATGCGTATTATACTCTCCGCATAATGCCTGTTTGTGAAAAGGCCGTTGTGTGTGTTCACGTGGGCGGTCCGGGGCTATGAGCAGTTCCGGATTTGGCAACGCGACCCGGGGGGGGGGGGGATGAAGCTAATTGCAGGGCACGCTCGCGGAGCGCTGGAAATTGATGAAGGCGCTCTGTGTGTGGACACGCTTGTCCTTGCCGGCGAGGACGCGCCGAGAATCCCGCCGGCCAATTGTCGCGACTGGCGCTTCGGTCGAGGATGAGAAGTAGGAAGAGAGGGGATAAATGTTTAGTCTGTAGTGTACCCATGGCCCAAAACCGGCGGCGTATATTGATTCAGGAACACCAGCGAAGTAACTGGCTGGGTAAAGTTACACTTCCGGCTTGTGAAGTTAGAATGTTTATTGTATAGGAGGAAACCAAGAGTGCAATTTCCATGGTAAGTATATGGGTTCTAAGGGGATCGGTGGCCGAGTGGGCTAGCACACACTAGAGTTCCTGTATAGGCTCCCTACGGGAGTCAGAGTTGCGCGTTCATCTCCGTAGCACCGTCTTTCCTGCACAGCATGTTGATCCCGCTCGTCACGTGACTGAATTCGGCGAATAGCGGCGCCGCGCGTTCGAGGCGCGCGGCGCGCTCAAAAGCAGGGGAACGTAAGCCGGGGCGCGTGCAACGTCCACTTTCCTGCACGGCACTTGATCCGGCTCCTCATGTGATCGGATCTCGGCGAATAGCGGCGCGGCGGCACGTGGAAAACAGACGCGCAACTCTGGCTCCCGTAGGGAGCTACAGGAACTCTAGCGCACACCAGCTCGGAGCACATGGAGTGAAATCTCGCACTGGGTAGAACCCAGGATCCTGGGTTCAATCCCCATTTTTTTCCGTTTCGATCTGGATGAGCATCGTACCGGCGTGCGATCGTGTATCACTACTGCATGATGCACGTTAAAGACCCGAGGCAAGCAGTTGTACTGCACTGGCTAAATTTCTCATCTGCAGCTGGGAGACTCGTCGCCCGTTGCGGCAGGCTGTTTCAGGCTGTATAAACATACACACACCCCAATTTATTTTTTTTATAATTTTATATGGGTTTTAGACGAGTCGTTGAGGCGTTGGTATGTCAACCCCCTCTAGGCCCTTTGTGCTTCGGCTGCGCGTGCACGGTCGAAGTTCACGACACGCCGAAGCATAATCGAAGGCAGGAACCTCGATCGCGCTGGAGGCGGGACAACTGATAACCCCTCCCTGCCGCTGTCATCCCGTCGGTGACTCTTGCGACTTTCTTCCTCTTCCCCACATATTGAACGGCCTTCAGCGTTCGATTTCTCCTACAGGTTTCACCTGGTTCAAAGGGGGGACACCGAATCGAAACCGTCATCTCCATATACGCCAATATATCATTTCGACCATTCCATTCGTAATCCACACTTTTCTTCTCTCATTGAACGCCGTCGCCCATACGGGCTTCAATTCTTCCGAAGCTCCAAACGGCGGGGCGAGGCAGAGCAGGCGGCAGCGAAGGGTCGCTTCTCTTGCGGGTCGATGCCTCGCGGCTTTCGTCGACAGCGGGGGTCTCCCCCCGGATTACGGTTATTATCGACGCCTGGTCCGAAACCCGAAATCGAATTTGCGTGCAGGAAACACGACGACGGACGGCGCGCCGTGAAGTGATACGTTGAGTGCGGCCGGCTGACAGCCGAGCTTGACGGCCGCTGCGTGCCCTTTCCGCGGCCGCGGACACGAACACGTCGGGTTCTTCCCTCAACGCCTTGACAGCTCCTGACGTTGTTATTTTATGATCTCTCTTTGTAAGTATGTGTTTTTGTCGTGAGCGTAGGTCGGCCAGCCTCATTTGCGATTGGACGCGTTGTTGGGGGTTTTGGTTTCATTTCGAGCGTTCCGGGAGCTGCCTGCAGTGATTCGCGAGAATTTGTGGCGTGATCGCCGCGGCGCTTTCCGGCCGGTTGGTTCCGGTGACTGAAAGCTGAGGACCGTGTCGATCGGGAGCGCGGCTTCGACGGGAACCTTCAGTCGCGAATGAGAAACCTTTGTTGTTAAGTTTTGACTCTGCTGTTATTCTTTCAGTTAGGAGGAGTTTACACGTTCCTTGCTTTCGTTCCGGCGTAACCAAGCAATGGGCGAAAGCTTCGGTCCCAGTGAGTCGTTCGGATTTCGGGACAAGGCACGTAATAACCACAACCACTGGAAGACAGTCATTGGGAGATTTGTCAGGTGTTGCACCGTTTAACTAATTGACTGGCGGGGACCGTAGCTTTCGCTCGTCACAAAGCTACTCTGAAACGGAATCCCCTGTTGGATCATCTGGTGTCTGATTTTCGTTGGGTTCTTGAATTCCGATACAGTATAAAAACAGAGTAGATTGATCTCTCTAAGCGTTCCACGCATACGTGACGCCGCCATAACTGCAGCTCACAGTGCAGGTGCCAGTGCACGAGACAGCTTATGTCGTCTCGTGCTGTGTTCGTGCAGACCAAGCGAAGGGAAGGGGTTGTCGAGCTTGCAGAAAGGCTACAGTTCCCACAATGCATGCCGGCAGCGCATCGGTGGCACTACGAAACTACACTGCTGGTACGATAGGTTTATAAAACTTCCCTTTTTTTTCTTGCTGTGATTAACACGTACAGATAGTTGTTGTTGCGGAATATAACAAATTAAAAAAAAAAAACAAAAAAACATTTGATTAAGAAAGCATTGGCCGGCAACAAATTAAACGTCTACAATCTTGGACATGGGCTTAATGTTTTTCGGCGTCTCGAACGCCGAGTCTGCTATATTTATAATCACCAAACGAACCTCATATGGTTTCCCCGAAGTACAGTCAAATTTTTGTGCTCACGTACCATGTTTCTTTTTTTACGCATCAATTTTACTCACCTTACAACTACTACCAACCGGCACTTCGGGGATCATGAGTTATATACGCCACTGCCGATGTGGTAATAGGGGATATTAGCAGGTATTAGTATGATGTACGCAAAGGAATAGAGTTGTCGCCACTGCGCAAGCGCCGATCCCATACCACGTTTTTGGATTGTCGGATGACAATGACGCTAGTTCGTCGCGCACGCTTTTGCGGATTTTATTATAGATGTTACTATTTCGATCGTTTTTACACTCCGCAAACTATGTCCAATCACGACACCGCGCATGCGCAAAAGGCGCCGGCGGAGTACCGGGTATCCGTATCGCAAATGCCGAAAGCGATGCACCGAAACTCCGTAGTACTTTTGGCGCGTTTCCACATTTACTACCCCAGGTTAGCAGCCATACGTCGCAGGCGTCGCTGGAGTGCCGATCGAGTTTAACTAGGTTCGCACCCTTATCTCGACACAAACCGACACCTCACCACAGTCGCGACGTGAAGTTTAGACAGGACTAAACTTTCGTGGCGTGTAACCGTCGAAACTACCTCGACTCTTTTGAAAACAAAATTCTGGCAAGTCGGAGTAGTGGTGGGAGAATTCGCGCAATCGTCTGATTGCTGCAAACCTTGCGTGGACGTGCTGCGTTTCTCCCGCCACTCCGAGGAGGTGCGCGCGAGCAGGCGTGCCGCGCGGCAGGACTGCTTCTCTCACAAAGTCGTTAATCACCGGGGCGGGGAAGTTGTCATTTCCGTTTTTAATTTCGGCCGTCCCGCCTGCTGCTTCCCCCGCCGTGCTGCTGACGCACCTGCCTCGGCTTCCCCCAACCCCTTCGCTGAATTCCCCGACGCCAGCATTTCGCGCCCGCATACGGTTTCCAATGCGACGTGAAGTGGAAGACAAAAATAAAAGCGCCAATATAATCCAGAGACGATTTTATGCGGGGGCAGCAACTCGACGCGAGGACGTCTGAGTAGAGTCCCGCTTAGCCAGCCAGGCACCCCCCTTTGATATCAGCCAGTTGTCTAGTATGCGTATTTTTTATATAAATTGTTTTCTGCATGTAAATGTGACGCGGGCAACGTCTTATTTGGTCGTGTGTGAATCGTCATTCCCACAGTGTGCTCTGATTAAGTATGGCTAGGGCAGCATAACCGCCAACTAATGAAAACAGTCTGAAGGAATCACTCGTTTCCTCCACGGGTACACATATATGTGGTGGGGAACTCTACCGACCTCATATGACCTTAGCCATGCTCTCCCGATTGCGTTTTTAAAGCAATTACTCAATTCACTGTGCGTAAGCAAAATGTGTGTTTTTTATCCGGTAATTTGACACGTAGGTTTTACATATACAACCTCTGAGAATCTCGTGTATTTTCATGGGACTTGTATTATCCCAATCGAACTTAGCTAGAGACAATCTTCAATTTTCTCTTGTCCTCTATTTTTTTTTTTCATTCCTTTTATTCGCTATTTTGGTTTAGTGAGTACATGCTCCG